CACAGCAACAATCCTGCCTTCCTCACCCAAACTTCTGTATTAATTACTCTTCTGTTGCGATGATATAATACCACGATCAGAAGCAATTTAAAAGAGAGAGAGAGAGTACTTTGATTTTTGATTTCAGAAGGGTAGAGACTCCATCGCGGTGGGGAAGACGGGCATGGCACAGGGCATGGCACAGATGCTGGCTGATAACATTTTTTATCTGGGCACATAAAGCAGAGTGGAAGCAAGAAGTGATGCTACTGCCACCAGTAATGCATTTTGCAGCAGCAGGTTCTGTTGGACTTAAAGATCCAAAACCGGGGGGCTCGCTCCCCCAGAAATACTCATGGAAGGGATACGCTGCAATTATGTGAGGCTTATTGAAAACTTGATACGTTGACAAATACCAGTGCACTGGGGTTCTCTTGCGTGCAGGCAAAAAGAACCCCGAGCCAAAATTGGCGGCAAAATTTATACCATATTCACAGGGCTCATAAGGGCAGTTTTACCTCTTAATCAATAACCACAAAGGCTGACCTCAACAGCAGTTCCCAGACTCCGTCTCTGTTCCCAGGCCCTGTTGCTAAGTAACTCAAATTTGCACCTTATCTTTTACAACTTAAGTGGCTTCTGTTTACTCAGGGCCCTTTCCTCTGGAATGTTTGCTTGAGCCTTTGGAATGTGCTCTTCCTGGGATGTGCTTCGGGGGCAGCTAATATTTGACTCAAATTTAAGGATCTTTTAATTTTAAGTTCAAGCTGAGACCTGAAGTTACATTCTTACATTCAAATTACATTCTTTTTTTTTGGGGGGGGGGTTCGAGACAGGGTTTCTCTGTGTAGCCTTGGCTGTCCTGGAACTCACTCTGTAGACCAGGCTGGCCTCGAACTCAGAAATCCGCCTGCCTCTGCCTCCCAAGTGCTGGGATTAAAGGCGTGCCCCACCACCGCCCGGCTCAAATTACATTCTTACAGCTCCATCTTCTAAAGCTTCCATAGCCTATTCTCCCACACACTGCCACCAGCTCCAGCCGAGAGTTCAAATCTATGAGTTGGCAGAGGATATATCTCATTCAGGCCACAGCAGGAGGCATATTTATTTTATGTGAAGGAATTCACCCTGTGAATTCATCTCTTACTTCACGGGACACCTTACAGAAAACTCTATTTATTCTAATATTTGTTTTTCATATTTTGAGTTGTATATTTTATATTTTAAGCTCAGAAAAATTACAAGCACCATAGCACATTTTTAGTACTCTACACTACACTAGGAGTGTCACTACGCTAGGAGTGCTGTCATTAAAATCTTTCTTACTGCCCTATAAGATTTTTGCTTTTTTGTTGTGGCTGCAGGTAGAACCTATCATTTTACACATACCACAGTTTTTTTTACTAGTGTTCCCTCCAACCTGCTATTTTAGTTAATGAGGAAAAGAAACATCTATTCTTCTCATACAAGGAGGGTACAGACAGACATAAAAAATGGATTAGGATTATGTAAAGGACTATGGATGACATGGAGCGTTTCCATCACCCAACAATTATAATCTCCTGCACACGACGCTGTTTTATATGGCTGTAAGTTTATAGCTGAATAAATGTAAACCTTTGGTCAGAGCACTATCCAGTGTTAAAAGCAGTAGCGATGATTACACACTAAGATAACTTAAAGCAAAAAGAAAACCAGTCTTTGCCTTAATCAGGAATCTTGTTGGTCTTGGAAAACACTGTCCAACTTTGGGGAGAATGGCTTGTGTTGATCCAGGGTGGCACATAGAAACACCTTTAAGATGGAGTTACTCCGGCCAGGATTTGGATAAGTCCCTCTATAGAAGACGAGGCCTTGCACATGTCAGACCAGCATTCTACCATGGAGCTACACACTCAGCCTATTGTTTTTGAACCTTGGATGTTAGTTTCAGGATAGGTTTTTTAGTTGGAAAACTGGAGAGAAGGGTCAAGAAACAGTCTGAAACTGGTGCATTCCTGTTGAAGGAGTCTATGGGGGTCTACTTATTCCATTTTGTCTCCACTCAGAAACTAGGCCATAGGTCATCTGAGCCAGGATCAGACCATGAAACTAGGCCATAGGCTATCTGCTTCTGCAGCAGACCCCAAAGTCCAGGAACAAGACAGTAAAATCCCCTACCTGAGGAACAGCCTGAAGATAGCCACATGAATGGGAGATTTTTATCTCAGGATAGGCCATCTGTGCTAGGCAGCCCACCCTGTGGTTAATCATTCATGACACAGGAAAGCAGTCTATCTGGGGCATCCTGGCACCCACTAATGGGGTTTTAGATTATCTAACCCTATCATAGTAGCCAATCAAAACTGTACTAATGTCAGGGCTTTGGCCCCTACCAATCACATTAGAGATTACCTAATCCTTCTGGAAATTTCCCCCAGTTCCCTATAAAAGAGGCCTGAGTGTCTTTGTCTGGATTGCCATTGTGGTATGGTGGTGATGCCTGCATGCTGGTTGTTTCTGCAGAATAAACGTTCTTTGTTCTTATATACTATTTGAGTCTGGGGTCTTCCTTCAGCAATTCCTAAACCCTAACACTATAATCACAGCACTCAGCAGGTTCAAAAAGAAGGATCAGTTCAGAGTTACTTTTAGCTACACACTGAGTTCCAGGCCAGCCTAGGATAGAGATTGTTTCAGTCATTAAACAAACAAACAAACAAAAACAAACAAACAAAAACTTTGTTAGTATTTCCAAGAGAGAGGTTTTCAGTCAAGGACACGAAAGGGGATTCAGAGTGGAACTGGACTGTGTTAATGGGTGTCAAGGCAACCAAGTAACAAAATACAGAGGTCCTGAGTTCAATTCCCAGCAACCACATGGTGGCCCTCAACCATCTGTAATGAGATCCAATGCCCTCTTCTGGTGTGTCTGAAGACAGAGACAGTGTACTCACATACATATAACAAATAAATAAACCTTTGAGAAAAAAAGATATCTGGGGCTCTTGGTATCTTCTCTTCCTCCAAATTTGACATAGTTTGACTGTTTACAATTACCACAGATTTTGGGGTTTAGAGTAACACAGGTTGGCTACTATGCTCTGGAACTGAAAGATTCAGATTTTATTCTGGTTATTGAAAGATTACATCCTTCAAAGGCCCCTCTTATACATTAGAGTGTGACTGTTATTCCTGCCTCTTTCCTATTTTTTTTTAAGTTTTATTTAATGTGTTTGAATCCTCTATCTGGATGTACATCTACATGTCAGAAAAGAGCATCAGATCATATTATAGCGGGTTAAGAGCCACTATGTAGTTGCTGGGAATCGAACTCAGGACCTCTCAAAGAACAGCAAGAGCTCTTAGCCACTGAGCCATCTCTCCAGCCCCTGGCACTGTCCTTTAATCTGTGACTATCCTCTCATTGTCATAGCACATTACCTAACTTTTGTGATTCTTACCCACCTCTTAGACATCTGAGGTCATCTATGGCTTTAAGTAAACTAATATTAACTGAAAAGCATTTATGTAATAGTTTTAAATACTAATGAGGCCTGGAGTTCACCTTCCCCAAGCTCCCCATGTCCCCTAAAAAAGCAAGTTAGAGAAAGGGCAGCTCTAGTGATAGGTGTTGCTTGTGGAAAACACACTTTGTTCTGCAGTTCTATAATTTTGTGATAATATAACAAAAACTTACACAAGAAAACGATTTATTAGCCATAGTTTAAAAAATACTATTTTAAGGCCAGACGTTGTGATGCGGGCTTTTAATCCTATCACTCAGGAGGCAGTGGCAGGTGGATCTCTGTGAGTTCAAGGCCAGCCTGGTCTACAGAGCAAGTTCCAAGACAGCCAGGGCTAAACAGAGAAACCATTTCTTGAAAAACAAAACAAACAAAAACTGCTATTTGCTGGGTATGGTGGGGCATGCCTTTAATCCCAGAGCTGGGGAAGCACAGACAGGTGGATCTCTGTGAGTTAAAGCCTGGTGAGCTCTAGGATAGCTAGAGCTACCTAGTGTGAATCTGTCTCAAAAACCTAAAACAAGCAAAAAAAACCCTACTATATTAAGTCTTGACTGTTTTTGTAGCAGAGACAAATAGGATTTAATTGCTTTATTGAAGTATAATTGGCACATAATGGGTCATAATCATATAGCATATTGTCTTAGGATTTCATTGCTGTGAAGAGACACCATGAACAAATCAACTCTTATAAAGGACAACATTTAATTGGGGCTGGCTCACAGTTTCAGAGGTTCAGTCCATTATCATCATGGCAGGAAATATGGCATCGTTTAGGCAGACCTGATGCTAGAGAAGGGGCTGAGAGTACATCTTGATTCCTCAGAGCCAGTTCTAAGACACTTGGGTTTCTGATTGTCAAGTTTACAGCCGAGTAGTTTTTAAATTAGCTACTTAGCCACTCCTGCAATATCTTAGGCCATCAATTCCAAAGCATTAGAATAGGAAACAGGAAAACTACACGTGCTGTTTTTATGTTTCAATAAATATATAATTCATTTTACAAGGATTCCCCCCCGCAACACACCCAAACTAATGTTCTTGAGATTAGTCACATTCTGGAGTAACATATTCAAAGACCTTTACATCTGTAACCAAGGATTTTCAGCAGCCCTCGATGGATTTTTCAAACCAGAAGTAGCTGAGGAAAAGCTAGTACTGTGTTTCCTGTGCATCTCGTGGAAAAGATCTCCTGTCCAAGAAGGGGTTCTTATCAAATCACAAGGTCCCCACAAGCTTTACCGCCTCTTTCCTGGAAACCTGTCTCCTTGTCCCACCCACTTCCGCCCTTTGCGGTCAAACCCACGTCCTCAATTCCAAAGGTCCCACGGGAAGGCTCCCTGGAAATCGGATTTTAAATAAGAGGCCACAGAGCTTGATTTTTGATCAGTTGGTGAGTAAGAACCACCTTAGGAGACACCACCCCTCCTGCTTGCTGTCAGGGCCGAGCGAAGAGCCTTTCGGGGGCGGGGCCTGAGCTGGTCCGCCCAGTGCGCGCTCGGTTTACGTCACTAATCTGCGTCCAGGTTTCTCGGCAGGTTCTTGGCGGCTCCTCTGGTGCTGGCCGCGGTGCGGCCGAAGGCTGTCCGAGGTAGGCTCCTCTCGGCTCTCTCATGGAGAAGGCGGCGCTCACTGCAGTCCCGGATGCACGAACTTCCCGCGGGACGTCGCCGGAGACGGTGGCTGTGTGCGCGCAGGAGCGAGCTGCCTGCGTGGGGGTCTGAGCGGGCACACGGGTCGCGTCCCGGAGGGAGCCGCGTCGCTCGCCCGCCCGCGACGGCCCTAAGGTAGCTACTTCCTGTAAGCAAGCACTAGGGCTGAGTTGCGGGCTATCTCAGACTCCTGATGTCGGAGAAGCGCCCCAGGGGCGACTTTCTTTTTCGCGTGTTCTGAGGTCGACGCAGCTTCCCTTGTGATCCGCTGTGAGGAAGTCCATGGTGAGTCGGATTGATTGCCATTCAATCCGGCGGAAGTCTGGCTGGTTGGCCCTGTCCGGTCGCGTACTCGATAAGTTCTTTATGTCAGTTTTATTTGCCTTCATGAGTTTTCAGAAGATGGTTTCAGCTTGCTGTATCGTTTTGAGCATGCTTGACTCAATTCCCTAGCACTTAATAGAGTCGACGAATTTTCCTTTTCATGCAGTTACACAAAACGCAGTGTTTTGGGTTCATGCTAATTTGGTTTCTCAACTATAATGGCAAGACATTTAGCTTAGGAGTGCGTCTTGAGTTCTGTTTCTTGAGATTCTATAACATGTGCCCATTTGATACCATATTAATTATTTTTAAAGTTAAAAGAGGAAGTCCGCGAGCAGAGGTCTTTCATTCCAGTAAGCTGTATGTAGAAGCTCAGTTGGCTGGTTCACACAGTACTTATTAAATGAAAGAACATGGAGGCCAGTAACTATGTTTCTAAAAGTATTTAGTAATTTTCTGTCCTTTCCATATTTTCTTCTTTCCAGGGTGGAACTACTCTGCCGTGGTTAAATACTTTAAATGGGAATAAAGGATAGCATTTCCAAGAAAATGAGAATGAATAAATCATCTCTGTTTTTTAAAAGAAAGACCATATTAAACTTACATGTAAGTTAAAATTTTAATTTCTAACAGTGTTGCTAAGTTAGATCGGAGATTAGGCTCAGTAGTATTTTTAAGTGAGGGTTTATAATTATCAGCCAAGGAACTGGGGAGATGGGTCAGTTGGTAAAATGCCTATCTCTTAATCACCCTCATAAACAGCTAGACTTGTAGCAGCCCACCTCTGTCTAGCTAGTCTTGTTGAGTCAGTAAGCTTCAGGTTGATTGAGAAACCCCTTCTGAAAAAATAAGGTGGAGAGTAGTGGATATTGCTGTTTTCTTTAGTTTTTCACAAATGTGATCTCATGTGGGGAAACCCCACTACTACTTGCTGGTGTACATACACAAGAAAAATGAGCTATACATGAAGTTGAGACTGCTAAAAGCTTTCGATTGCAGGAAAAACTATGTAGAAGTAGACTTAAGAACTGAGCTTTTAGAGCCAAGTATGGTGACACAAGCCTGTAATTCCAGCACTCAGGAGGCTGGGACGGGTGATTTCAAGATCAAGGCCAGCCTGGACTCCATAAGGAGACCCTTCAGCTCTAACATTTTAAGATGATATGGCAGTCAGGATTAGTAGAGACAATCTATTTTCTGAGTGATCCTCTCATGAGTGCTTACACTGTGAGATGTATTTTCTGTAGTTGTAAAGGAGAAGCAATGCTATTTTCTGATATTGTGTGAAGTGGTAGCCCTTTGATGTAAGAAAAGCAGTTCTACTTGTTTTGAAGTTCTGTGAAGATAGAAAAATGAGTCACACATGACTATATTGTACCCTTTTTTTTTCCTATAGAAAATATAAAAAGCTTCACTTAAACTCTGACTTATTTAGTTATTAGTTGTGGTATGCACAAGAACTTCTCTGTAGAGTGACATGGTGATGGTGGGGTAGAAGAGAGACTTACTTGCATCAAAGGATGCAAAGTAGCAGGTATATAGAATAAGTTGTGAGATATAATGTATAACATGAAGGTTATAGTTAGTAAAAATTGTATTAGAGACTTTAAAACTCCCTACTTGACAAACTCACCTGAGTTCTGCATACTTTCGTATTGTAGAACTAAGCACATATCTCAGATTAAAATCTTTCCAGCTACATAATATTTTATATCTAATTGTATTAATTTTGTGTAGATAAATTTGAAACACTTGTATAAAGTTCTGTGATGACTATAGGTAAAAATAAATGGATTGCAGGCGTGTTTATGTCTTTTGGCTTTGCGTCTTGCTTATAGGGGCCCCCACGAGGTCCGACATGTCATGTTACTCTACTGTGGTATCTCACATGACTCTGCTCACTTCGGATAAACCATAGTCATCTTTCCTTTCCCAGAAAACAGAATACCTGCTCTTACGGAGCGCCTGCGTTTACATTGCTGCTTTGTTCTCCCATCCCTTTAAGTCTGCGCAGTGTTCCCTCATCAAGGCCTCCTCCCTTAGCCTTAATGTACATTACTTCATCACAGCGCTTACCACATTGCAGTGTCCTTTATTTCTTGTTTTACCCTGCCTCCAGCTGAAAGGTAACTTTCATGAAGACAAGCTTTGGTCTGTCTTTTTCTTCATGGCTCTATCCCAGTTCATAAATATATTATGTACTCAGAACATCTTAGTTTAAGTAAGTGTGATTCATAGGTGAGCCAGTTCCTCATGGAGAGCTGCAGCGAAGGAGGTTATGATCTATACAGGTAGCCTTAATACAGGTTAGGAAATTCAGAATGGGACTGAAGACTAGGGGATTCATGAAACATGATAAGTATTTTGGCTCCTTGGAATTCAAGCAAGACTTGCTGACAGGAGTGATTGGGCCCTTTGCAGTGAAGATGGTAAATAAACAATTAGGAATAGGTTAAAGTAGAAAGTACACAAGGTATGAGAAATGCAGTATTAGGATATAAGATTTAAAAGTTAGATGTGGAACAAGGGAAGGGTCGTAGTTATTGGTCTTAGTTACAACGTTAAGACTTTGGTAAGTAGTGGGAAATCAATCTAAGGTTTTTTTGTTTTTTAGTTTTTGCTCATGTTAGCTGTGTACTACATCCTATTTCCTAAGTCTTTAGGCAGGGAGGATAAGATTGGCAGAGATGTTTTCTACCCCAGTTGACAGCATTGTATTGTGTGGTTTAAACTGGTTTAGGGCCAGGAGGCATGGAAGTACCAGTCTGATGAGGCAGAGCAGATGCAAGATCATGTTCTAAAGGTAGAATACATGACTGTTGGCTCTTTTATACACCTTTGGTGATAAGAATGGTGATAGTATTGTCAGAGCAGTAGGAGAACACACAGGGTAGAGAAGGTAACTAACTACATTGGGACCCTGCCTTAGCTACACGTTACCTGCTGTGACAAGGAGACATCATTTGAGAAAAGGAGAGAACAGCCTGGTTCTGCGCCTGCATGTGCACAACAAGTTATTTACTGGCTCTACCCATTTACTCATTCCTAGGTTCCTCCACGTAAAGATGTTAACTGCCCTGCTTTGTTAATCTTTTATTAATATCTTGATACAGGATCTCTCACTGAACCTGTAGCTGTGCTGGCATTATAGGTACTGATGAAGCCATACTCAGCTTTTTAAAACTTAGGTGCAGGGTTTTGAACTTGGGTCCTCATATTTGCTGAGTTATCTTCCATGCCCTCTATGTTTTCTCGTTCAGCTGTCTTTAAGCTTGACCCTGACTTATAAAAAATAACCCTGTGGGGTGTCCTCAGCTGTGTTTGACCTTCAGTTACAGAGAGTAGGAACAGGGTATGACCAGATCAGAGACTATCAAAGCAACTCATTTCTTTCAGGATATTCACACGTATGTCCTATTAGTAAACTGTAAGTCCAAATGAGGTAATTAATTTTCATAAATTAGTGCCTGCCTTAGAATTTGAAGACAAGCCTGCACTCCTCCCCAACTGGTATATTTCCAGAAGTAAAGACTAAAAAAGCATCCTTAATTCTAGAAAGCCGTTCATATAAAATATGCTACCACAAATGAGTGCTTTTGTGAAAAACTACCACAGATAGCCAAAGTAGTTGTCTTTAAGGAACTTAGTGAATTTGAAGAGTTTGTTTTTTTTTTTTCAGGGAGCTGAAGACTTGGCTCAGTGGTTAAGAGCCCTGTTGCTCTTGGAGATGACCAGCGCTCACAACCATCTGGAACTCTTTTCCAGGAGACTGGCCTTCAACAGCACCAGTGGCACACATGGGTACATGCATGCAGGGAAATCACTTATACATAAAAATAATTATTTACAGTTTTTTAAGGTTTGTTTTCAAAGACAAAACAGTAATTGATAATTTCTAAAACTACACATACATGATTGAGGCAACTTGCCCCTAAAGCCCTTTCAGCTTTATATGTTTGGATAGTATGTAGGTAAAAAGAAAAGAGAAAATATTTTCCATGGTATCTTCTGCACATGAGATTCTCTCTTCTATCTCTTGTATTCGGTTGGTGATGCTTGTTTCTATGACCCCTGATCTCTTCCTAGGATTTCTATCTCCAGGGTAGTCTCCCTTTGAGATTTCTTTATTGTTTCTACTTCCATTTTTATGTCCTTGATGGTTTTGCTCAATTCCTTTACCTGTTTGTTTGTGTTCTCTTGTAATTCTTTAAGGGATTTTTGTGTTTCTTCTTTAAGGGCTTCTACCTGTTTACCTGTGTTTTCCTCAAATTCTTTGGGAATGTTATTTATGTCCTTAAAGTCCTCTATCATCATCATTAGGAGTGATTTTAAATCTGAGTCTTGCTTTCCTGGTGATATGGGGAATTCAGGACTTTCTAATGTGGGAGAACTAGGTTCTAATGATGCTAAGTACCCTGGGTTGCTGATGCTTATGTTCTTGTGCTTGCCTTTCGCCATCTGGATCTCCTTAGTGCTACCTACCCTGTCTGACTGGAGCCCGTATTTCTTACTATGTTGGTTGTTTCAGAACTGTGTGGGGTGGGTGTTACTACTGGAGTTAGAGCTGGGGCCTAAGATCTGCTTAGTGCTTGGGTGCAGACAGGAAGGAACCAGTGCTCCAGGCCAGGAGTGAATTCCTGGGCCCCAGTGGGTCACAGTTACTCCCTGTTTGGGGTGGGTGTTGCTGTCTCCTTACCTAAGATACTGCCCAGGTTAGAGCTCCTGGGAGGTCTGCCTCCTCTGGGATTTGTGAGATTGGGTGCAGAGCTGCCACCTGGGATCTGCTCAGTGCTCGGGCCCAGACCGGAAGGCGAGAAAATTTAAACAGTGTCATGAAACTTTAAATTGTGAAGGAAATTCTTATATGAGGCATAATAAAAGTAGGTGCAATTAACTTTCATTGACCTTAGAATAAAATGAATGGCTTTCTAGAATTAAGGTTGCTTTTTTACTTTGTTAACTTCTGGAAATATACCAGTTAGGGAGGAGTACAGGCTTGCCTTCAAATTCTAAGTCAGCCACCAGCCACCAAACTATGAAAATGAATGCCCTTATTTGAATTTGAGTGCATAAAATAAATGCATTATTTTAATCACCCCTTTACCTTACTGATTGGAGGAGAGGCAGGCAGTTCTCACTTCACAACCCTCACATGTAAGGTAGATAGCAGTTTCTTAGTTTCCTTTACTCAAACCAGACAAAGAGAACACATATACCATGCAGAGCCTCATGGGCGTGATATTCAGACTAGAATAAAGAACTGTAGGAGGCAGGCTCTTTAATCACAGGAGTAACTCGTAGCTCCTGAGGGAGATGTGATTACTTGACTTGATAATTTCTTAGGCTAGGAGAGTACCAAAGCCCACTACATGATATAAAACACTGCCTGGTTATCATGAGAATGTTAGTTTGACTTGAGGGTTTTTTTTTTTTTTTTGAGGATTTTTTTTAATCAACAGAAGTATGGAGGGGGATTTGTGGTGCGACAGTTGATTGTTTTCCTAGCTATATCAGATGTCATGGCAGCAAATAATACTGATGTTTTTGTTTGCTTTAATTTTTTTGTCATACCATGCTGGCTAGTTTTATATCAACTTCTCACAAGC